ACTTCTGGTTCCTAAATCTGAAAGCAGTGACTATTTTTAGGGGACAGAGGGGCTAAGGTACAGCGGCTTCCAGGTGAGCGTGTCCAGGTCATTCCCCTGGCTGCAGTTAAAGTCCTGCAATCAGGCAGCCCCAGTGCCGGGGCTAACTTCAGAGCTGCCAAAGCCTGACATTGAAGAGAAAGGTTTCTTCCAAGTTGTTTGAGATGAATTTTTAAAATGTCTAAATGACCACTGTGAGTGCCAACAAAACAGGAAACAACCCAACAAAACTCTCTCTTTTTTTAATTCCCCAACAATTTTTTTTGTTAAAAACGTTTCTTTTTCAGACTAATTTTTTTATTTTGGTTCTATATAGTATTTTTGATGCTGGTTATGAAAACAGTTTGTAACTCGTCTTCCTATAAACCATATTTTTTTACCATATTTTCCTAGTATACTCGTCGACGACTGAAAAAGAACATTTTGTGAAAACGAGTATACACGTTTCTGCCGGGGAAGAGGTTCAAAAAATTTTTTTTGTTGATTTTAGAGAGAGAGGAAGGAAGAGAGAGAAACATCAATGATGAGAAACATTGATTAGCTGCCTCCTGCACGCCCCCTAGTGGGGATCAAGTCAGCAACCCCGGCATGTGCCCTGACCAGGAATCTAATTGGTGCCTCTTGGTTCATTTGTCGATGCTCAACCATTGAGCCACACCAGCCGGGCTCAAACAGAACTATATCATCAGAAATAATGAAGGTTCCTATGCCTGGCCTACACATATTTTCTTAGTATACTCGTCGACGACTGAAAAAGAACATTTTGTGAAAACAAGTATACACGTTTCTGCCGGGGAAGGGGTTCAAAAAATTTTTTTTGTTGATTTTAGAGAGAGAGGAAGGAAGAGAGAGAAACATCAATGATGAGAAACATTGATTAGCTGCCTCCTGCACGCCCCCTAGTGGGGATCAAGTCGGCAACCCTGGCTTGTGCCCCGACCAGGAATCTAATCGGTACCTCTTGGTTCATTTGTCGACGGTCAAACATTGAGCCACACCAGCCGGGCTCCAACAGAACTATATCATCAGAAATAATGAAGCTCCCTATGCCTGGCCTACCTAGGGGAAACTGTATTAGCTGTAACCGATAGGACTCACTAGGACACATTTATACGACAGCAATCAAATGTTCTGTTCAGAAACAGAAGAAAGCCTGTCATTTCAAAAGATTATTGTTACTCACCTAACTTCCAAGCATCATCACAATTCAGTCTGTCTTGATATTAGACAAAAAACCCACTTCAATA